CACACACACACACACACACACACACACACACACACACACACACACACACACGAATGGAGAAAAGAACCAAAGGTACAAATTAATAGGAGATTATCTTAAGTCAGATTAAAAAAAAGTCCATTTCATCTTAATTTCTACAACAGAATTTTGCTGTTTTGTAAAATCACATGCAGAAGAAGACGTGGATAAATTCAGCTCTAAATATTTGCATAACTTTGCTCATAACACAAAAACTCTGTGATAAATAATGTTGCAGTAACAGTTTACTTTTGTTAAATATAATATTACCCTGCAGCTGAGATTACAGCAGCAGGGTAACAGAAACAATGCAAACCAGATCAGGATGAGACGGAACAGAACTTTTTATTTTTCCTTCAACATCACAACATCAAAGGGAGAAAAATGTATTTTATAATCAGCTAGTTATTTCTCAAACTCTCTGTACTTGAATCAAGTCTTTACAAATGTTTGGTAAAAAGAAACAAGCTTTGTTTTCTTACAATTGATAGATTAGGTTCACTTTCAGTTTGCACCTTTTTCATAAAACAAACACATAAAGCAGACTCTTTACTTCTGTTAACTTGTACAAGTTTCAACATTAGAGTGTTATCTGTGTGTTTGCATGGGTACAGGTGTGTATTACCTGTCCATTCATGACTCCCAGTAAAGCTGGCTCCATCCACTGAACCGGCTCAATGAAGTACGATGTACACTGGACTCCTCCTAAAGAACCACGTTTTACACGGTTACTTATAAGGCGACACTAGTTTGACCTGTGATTATTGAGGTAGGATTTATTCACACAAGACTTTTAATCGTCTACAGAAGTAAAAACGTCACCAGAAACATAAACAGTAACTATTTCCTTCTGTCTCACAGCTTAATATAACGGTTTGTTTCTATCCACCAGCCCATCAAAATGTGGAGAAAAATGGATGGATGTATTTACAGTCCAATGGGAAGCAGCATGTTTTAATTCAAACTAAAAATGAAACGTCCAGCTCTTGTAGTGTGAGTGGGTGTGGACTTGCTTTTCTTACCGGTGAGGTTTCTGGGCTTCTTGTGGCTGAAGRCTGAAGCTCCCTCCCCCACAGGATGACTGAGAATACTGGAGCTACGAAACAAACTCCGCCTGAAGACAAAAGTGAGGAGGTTAATCTGCAAACTGATGTAACTATTTAAGTCTTATTGCTTAAACCTTTAGCTACAAACTGCATGTCATAAACACCAACCACTCGACAAAACATATATACATAAATGGTATCTAAAGCATAATTTAAAGAAAATGAGGATGTATATTAGCCTCTAAACCCTCCTCTAGTTTGGATCAGACAGTTAGAACTCAACAACAGAGATGCTGAGCTGAAGTGAATCATTTCAGCCACTCTCACAACTCACCTGCACTTCCTGCACCTGTAAGACACCTCAGAGGAGCTGGAGTGGGCGGGGTCAATGGCAAAAATTTCCCGTGGCAACTCTGCAGCCCCCTGCTCTAACTCTACTCACACACACAGGAATAAGAAATACAGAAGAAATACAGACATTAAAAAGTCAAAAAATAAAGCTTTTTAACATGTGAGGTGTGTGTGTGTGTGTGTGTGTGTGTGTGTGTGTTTACCTGGGTATTTCTCTGTAATCTTGATGAGTCTGTATTGTTTGTACAAAGAACTTGATGTATTGACCTCACAGCTCATGGCTTCATACAGATGCAGCTGCTCCTCAAACCCTCTGTTGACCCTGAAACACATCAAACACATTTTATTGTTTGTCCTGTTGTCGAGTCCAGATTCAGTGAGTTTACATGACAAGATGACACTTCACTCAAACCGGAGATGATTTTCTGTAAAATCTACTTTTCTGAATCCAAGTTTCAGTAAAAAAAAACAAAAAAAAAAAAACCTAAATCTTGGCTTAAGAAAAAATAATAAAAAGAAGAAAAAAGAGAAATAGAAAAAAATAAAGAAAGAAAAGAACAAAAGAAAAAAAAACTAAATCTTTCTATAGATAAAAAGAGAAACTGATTAATTTTAATCAAATGTTTTTTTCCTGTCTCAACATTTGTTGTTTTTGTTTTGAAACACTCAATGTCAACATCAACAGTTATAAAGTAGACTTTAAGCATCAACCTTAATGATTAAAGGTTAAGTTTAAAGTATGGTTTTCTTTAGGGTGTATTCAGACCAGGAAAGTCCTTTGGTCCAATTGTTTCATCCGGACCAAAAATGGACTTTATTTTTTTTTTCATTTGGTGCAGTTTGCATTCACATTGTGCTTTTTT